GAGACAGAAAAAAATAATAATAAAAAATAAAACAGTTCTGTATCTGGTGCAAGCGCTGCTTACACTCCATCATTTATAACTTAATAAAAGTCACAAGGTCCAAAGCTGCATGAAATATTCAAAATGCTCTGTGTGGTGCTGTTCTAGAAAAATAATCAACAATACAGTTACTGCTCCTACCATGAATTTGATAATTTTCCTGTAACAGCAAAATATTTTATTCCTCTCCTACTCTAGCAATCATGGTATAATTGTTATTTTTTAAGACACTTTTTTAAAATCCATTTTAAGCTACATGTAATGTAAATGAAACTGTCATGTGAGCGAGAGACCACAAAATGCGTAAACTACAGCTTTACCTGACACCGGAGACTCCTGCCATACATGTGAAATAAACATCTCCTTCCTTACCATTTCACCACATCTACGATCACGCACATTTTTGTTTATGCAGAGCATCAGCAGTACAAGTTCCTGTGGCTACAAAAGTACATCAGTTATGTGATTCCCAGCTGAAGTGACTCAGCCATGTTTTGAAACTTTTATTAAACTCTCATCCAGTAAACAAACAAAGAAGCTACCAACCTGTCCAGCGGCGTTTCCCCGACTCTGAGGATCCTGCTGAAGAGCTTCAAACACAAAACCAATAATGCTGTGGCTGAAACCTGCAAATTAACCTTCACTAAGCGTGGAACACGTGTGCGCCTGAGCCCGGAGTGGTCCCACGAAGCCAGGGCAGCTTGCTCCTGACAAGCGCTGATATGAAAACACGAGACTTTGTTTTAACCCTGAAATGGACTGCATGGTAAAAAAAAATAAAAGGAAAGAGGTCTTGCTTGCTAGCACTCAAATTTATCCAGGTGTTGATGAGGTGTCAGCTTAGAGGAAAGTCACAACCACACACACACACATACACACACACACACACACTTACATCTTCTGTGCATTGTTTTGTCTTCCTGTCAGTCTTTCTTTAAAAATAGTTAAAGTGAGAGGGGGAAAAAGTGTAAAGAATGAGAGGAGAACTGACCCAGGGCAGAACTGTTGACATGTCATTAATGTTTTAATAAACTGATGTCATTTTTCCGGCACTTTCTCTCTCTTTCCTCTCTGCGCTGCCATCGGCACCCACCATGTGTTGGAAAGCAATTAAAACTGTTGAAATGTAGGAGAAAAGCCCTATAAAGCCCCTTGAAGCTGACGTTGACGCCTCTGATCCGATTCAATGAACAGAAAGCCGCAAGGCCCAGACTCCTTGGGTCCTTAGACAAGAGTGTGATTCCTAAGATACCATCTGAACATTTAGCTCAAATGGTCTCGAACAAAGTGCACACGGGGTCTCGTTGTGTCCGATAAACAGCTCTCCTGATTGACGGTTTAGAGCGACATTTGAAGTGTCCTAAATCACCAAGGACCCTCCTTATCCAAGCTAAAGGCAACTCCAGACCATATATATATATATATATATAATATACTTTTCCAGAACTGTTTGGAGAGCTCCTTGGTCTTCATGATGCTGTGTGTTTAGGTATGTTCTTCCAGGAACAAGTGTAGTTATACTGAGATCATGTGACATTTTAATTATTGACGCCATTTAACTAATTTTTCTGATGGCAACTGCAGTTAAAGTGCAAGTGAACACACACACACACACACACACACACACACACACACACAACACATACACTCACACTTGCATCAATATCATGGGTTATTTTGTGTAGATTTCTTTCATAAAATCCCAAGTAAGTCTATTTTAAAATCTGGTAAAGTTAATAGGGGGTGTAAACTTATGCAAGGGACAGTAGTTTTAACTGTTAACAGATAAAATGTGTCATTCAAACATTACCAAATTGCTGTTGCTGATTATTTTCCTATATCAGAAAGCCCTTGTGTGTTTTTTTTTCCATTCTATTTCTAACGTTATAAAGACAGACACTGTATGCTAATTATGCGTAGGTGAAAGCTAATTCCACTAATCTTATGTGTCGGTTACGGTGTTGGAACATTGTAGCTAAGTATGAACATGTTTATAAATCTGACAGCTCTCATCCGCTCCTCCATTACGTCCGGGGTTTCTTGTCATTTGTTACGGAAACGGGCATTGGGTGCTGACCATGCGTTTCATGGTCAGATTGGTCGGGAATACAAAGGAAGGAGAAAGAAGGAAAACATTTCAATCCTGTCCTGTAATTTTGTCGACAAACATATCCTTGAACTCATATTTTCACTTGTTTTCACTATGTAACTCTACAGTTTTGCTGGCAGTGTGTTCACAAACCTGCATGATGCTCGTGGTGTATCGTAGAAATGTCTCCAAGAATCGTGAGGTGGTCTTTTTCATCATCTCATCCAACCGTGATGTCATGTGTCTCTACAGTGTCTCTTAAGATCAATCATGTCAGATCTTTTCCATCTTTAATGTGAAATTGCATAGTATATGAATAAAGCAAAAAAAAACCAAACACTTTGGGGGTGGGGGGTGGGGTAAAATAGTTACAATATCCTGGTTGCATAAGTGTGTACACCCCTAAACTAATACTTTGTTGAAGCACTTTTTGGTGTTATTTCTCCACTCAGTCTGTTTGGGTAAGAGTCTATCAGTGTGGTACGTCTTGACCTGGCAATATTTTCCCACTCTTTGTAAAAACATTCAAAATTTGTTAAACACTAAGGGCATCTCCTGTGCACAGCACGCTTCAGGTCACCCCACAGATTTTCAGTTGAATTCAGGTCTGGGCTCTGGCTCATGATCATTCAAAACCATGGATCAACTTTTGGTTAGTCGTTCCTCTGTTGACTTGGATGTGTGCTTTGGGTCAATGTCATGCTGAAAGGTGAAATTTCTTTTCATCTTCAGCTTACTAGCAGACACCTGAAGGTTTTGCACAAATATGTGTAGCTATTCATGATTCCCCCCACTTTGATAAAAGTCCCAGATCTGGCTGAAGAAAAGGAGCGCTAAAGTATAATGCTGCTACCACCATGCTTCACTGTGGGGATGGTGTTCTTTTGGTGATGTGCTCCAAACATCCCTTTTGGGATTTTGTACGCATTTTGCCATGTTTGGGGTGATTTAGTTGAGCTTGGATGAAAAAGCTGTTCTGTCTAGCCACTCTACCTCATAGCCCGGCCATGTGAAGAATACAAGACATTATTGTCACATGCAGAGCGTGATCAGTACTTGTCAGATATTCCTGCAGCTCCTTTAATGTTTCCGTAGGTCTCTTGGCAGCCTCCCTGGTACGTTTTTGTCCTGTCCTTTTGTAAATCTTGGAATCACAATGTTCCATGGTTTGGAAAAAAAACAAATTGTACCCTTCTCCCGATCAATTCCTTTTGAGAGTGAGACCCTGTACAGGCATTGTCAGCTCTTTGTGGACCATGGCTACGGCTGTCAAATGAAACCAAGAAGATGTGAGGAACATCCTACAGAAACAGCAGGTCTTTGTTTTGGGTTAAACAGAATCATTTCACTGATGACAGCTGGATGGTAATTGCTTTTAAACATGAGATTGAATGTAAACCCAGCCACATCCGCAATTATAAAAGGGTGTGCAAACTTATTCAACCAGGTTATTGTAAGATTTCTGTTTTTCCTATTTTACCATACAATGTTTCTGATTGTTTTTCACTTCATTTTTAGAAGTTGTAATTTCACATTGAGGGTGGGAAAATTCTATTCCAAAAAAAAAACAAAAAAAACATGCCCACTTCCAGTTTAAATCTGAATACGAAAACAGATGTGAATATTTTACGCTTTGCGACTTCACTTGAAAAACGATTCAATTATGATTCAATCCAAAGCAGCACAATTACTATTTTGTAAACATGGAATAAATTTAGCTTCAGATTTTGGTGCGAACTATGTTACAAATTTGGTTTTTCCTGCTAATGCTAGCTCTGGGGTGGAAAAGTCTTTGATCTTGACGTAACAGGTCTAGCAAATTGCAAATGTCTTGCAAAGCAATTTTTACTGTCTGCTTCATAAAACCCAAAGTGTTCCCAAATGTCAGCTTTTAAAAAAAGAAAGTGCTGGTTTGACTACTTGCTGTGAATGTTACTTACTACTTGCTACTTCTGCAATGACATCGCACCCTCTTTGGCATTTCGAACATAAACATGTCTTCTTAAATCATCTGAATTTAAAATGCTTAAATGTTTTTGAAAATTGGGTTTTAAACAATCTCTTGGATGCAGAATCTTTCAACAAAGCATTGTGACGCATCATACAAACAATTATTTCCCTTCACCCCGACTATTATGTTATTATTTTGATATATTATCTTGTTTCCAGGTATTAGCTTTATTTCAAGAAATTATATTATGTTGTTACTTCAAAATATTATGTTGTTATTTTGAGGTATTATCTCATTATTTCAAGATATCACCTTATCAGTTTGTGGTATTATGATTATATTATTATATTATTATTATTATTATAAAATATGTTATTTTAAGGTATTATTTTGAAATAGTATGTAATCATTTTGAGGTATTATCGCATTAATTCACGATACTATCTTGCTATTTTGATGCATTATCTTGTTATTTCAAGATAGTATGTAGTTATTTCAAGGCATTATGACATTGTTTTGACCTACTAGATTCATAGCTAGATTATTTTAAATTATTATCTCACCGTTTCAGTACTATTCAGATTTAATAACTCAAATAATCTCAGGGTCGCAGGGAACCTGGAGCCTATTCCAGGGAGCGTTAGGCACAATGCAGGGTACACCCTGAACAGGGTGCCAGTCCATCGCAGGGCACAATCACATACACACTCACACACCCATTCATACACTACGGACAATTTAGACATGCCAATCAGCCTAACCAGAGTACCCGGAGGAAAACCCCGCAGCACAGGGAGAACATGAAAACTCCGCACACACATGGCCCCGGCGGGACTCGAACCCCGGACCCTGGAGGTGTGAGGCGAACGTGCTAACCAATAATAATAATAATAATAATAATAATAAAATTAATAATATGGGGGCTCGGTGGCTTAGTGGTTAACATATTTTCTTCACACCTCTAGGGTTGGAGGTTCGATTCCTTCCGCCGCCGCCCCATGTGTGCAGAGTCTGCATGTTCTCCCCATGCTTCAGGAGTTTCCTCTGGGTACTCCGGTTTCCTCCCCCAGTTCAAAGACAGGCATTGTAGCTGAGTGGCATTTCCAAATTGTCCGTAGTATATAAATGAGTGTGTGATTGTGCCCTCCGATGGGTAGGCACCGTGGTGGATGGGTGTCCACCGTCTCGTGCCCCAAGTCTCCTATAAGCTCCAGGCTCCCTGCGACGCAGTGTAGGATAAGCGGTACAAAAAATGGACAGAGAAATAATAATAATAAAATTACCTAAAATCGGGAGTCAGGAATTTTTTTAACATACAAGCAGACATTCTTTACTCCTAATCTCAGCTCTTTTTTTACATTGTTAGAAACAAACAACATGTGCAGAACCATAGCATTCAGAGGACATAATTTTAGATCTTAATACACAGTACACACACACACACATATATATATATATATATATATATTCTAGCACTGTTTATGAAACCGAAGCAGACACAGGCTAGTGACAGACAGCATGAGATTTCCACCATAGCCCGAGGCTGATGGAAAAGGGTCTAGCTGACTCTTCCAGGCCACTGTACACAACAGCCCTGCCTCACACAGACTCTCATCCCTCATTTTCATCATCGCCGATGGTTCTCATGAATACAGAAATGCAGCCAGAGGCTGTGCAGGGCCTCCAAATCGAGTTTAACAAAACCTCTAAAGGTCTGGAAAATTACAATTCGCTATGTGGAGGAATGTCAAAACCTTTCAGAATGAGAGAGAGAGGGATGGAGGAGAGAGAGAGAGAGAGAGAGAGAGAGAGAGAGAGAGGGAGAGAGGGAGAGGACACTGAAACACCTCGAACCCGTCTCTCACACCAACTCAACAGGTTTCATTAGCCTCATAATGGCAAAGGCTAATCCTCCGCAAGTAGTGCCTGAGAACTTTGATATACAGACTACCGATTAGCACTCGCTGAGGTGTTCAAGTTGCCTGCGTTTTGAATGCCAATGTGATGCAATTGTAGTGTTAGCTAAACAGAAATAAACAGTTCTCACCAACTGAATCTGTTGAATCTCAATGCTATAAAATCATCACAGGGTAAGCTAATTTTCTAAACTTGCTGAATCATGCTAACTCAGTTTGTTGTTGATAATAAGCTAAGCTTTTCAGAGGAATGATGTAATTCTTTGTACTTTGATGGATTCGCATGAAAAAAAGCAGCTAGAGCTAGCTAAAAACAACTATTTGTCAATTATTTTACTTGATTGTAATAAAACAAAACTGAGATGCTTTCTTAAGAATAACTTTTTTTTTTAAAACAAAACTATATTTTCCAAAATATTTGTTTTGTGTGATGCAAGAAATGTCATGTTAATAACATGTAATGTTATATTTTCAGAATCCATCCCTACAGTGAAGTCTGGTGGCGGGAGCATCATACTGAGAGTCATCCTCGAGAGCCTCTTTTCTCAGTCATTAACTTTTGGTGACAGATTTGCGTTTGTGCCATATTTTTTTCCCCACTTTTTTAAAATAAACACTTGAATGGATATTTTTTGCAAAGAAACCCTTTAAAGGTGATCTAGACAAAACTTCTTTTGGGCGCTCTACAGCTGGGGTTCTCAAACGTCTTGCAGTAAGGGATACCGTTAGCTTTAAAATAAATTCCACAGACCCCCGAGGAACATTTTATTTGAATATGTCCAATCATTTTGGATATTCTCAATAGTCAGCATAATAACTACAATAATAATAATAATAATAATAATAATAATAATAATAATAATAATGGGTTATGATTTGCAGAACGAAGGAAAAAACAATAATGGATGTCCTGGATGTACTTAATGGATAACTCAGAGTCTATGTACTCCATTTTGAGAAGCAGTGCTCCACGTGACTTAAGCTACACCAGGATTCAGGCCGGGGTTGGATAACGCTTGCAGCCTAAATGTAAATGGCATTAAATAGTGGTATACAGTAATTACAACCTGAGCAACCTGAACAACAAAATAAAAAACAAAAAAATATGAAAAAGATGAATGAAAGCAACTTTCCAGTCAAGTGACTGTTTCACATAAAAAGGCATCTTGTGAATGATGAGCAGATGAAAGTCCTGAGAGAAGAGAACAAGCAGCTGAGCACTGACAGGAAGTCGGAAATTTGTGAGAAATCAAATTGCTGCAATTGCTACACTTTCTTCACGTACACAACCCTGCGCACACTAGTGAGGACTCCCGAAACCCATTTAATGATGCACTACAAAAAAACAAACAATAATCGCTTCAAGCAAATAATCTACTCTAATCTCAGCAGCACATGATACAGGAAGTTAAGACTGACAATAGCCAAGTTGTGTGCATCAAAATTTACTGGCTGTTCAGCAGTTCAGTGTGCAAAAGTTAACACACCCATCTCCAAATTATAGTCATCACAATGCCAAAGGTATACCAAACCACCTGATCATTTTAATCTCCTTTTAGCTCTCTTTTAATAATTCTTAAAAATGACAATGTATGAACTTCATACTAAAAGGGCACATTGCGTAATTACTCCACTGCAAGAATATACCGCTTATTTTCTCCATTCGTTAAAACTTAATGAAAGTGTTGGTTTTTTTTTAATCAGCCCCATAATCAGCTTCTTACAGAGCATTTGCTTTATTTTCCCCAATGACGTGATTTCATATTAAATAACAACAGAGTGGTGCTCTTGCGTTTAATAAATTGCATGTCTTGACAAGTGGTAGTCTGTTATTCAGATAAGATAAGATAAGTGGTAGAATGTTATTCCTCCCCAAACACCTGATGGCTATTGTAAAGCCTTGTGTGTGTGTGTGTGTGTATATATATATGGTTAGAAATATGAAACTACAGAGTTTCACAAGCAAAAAAAGTCCAAGAGAGGACTGAAATGTGGGCGTATCGTGGAGAAAGACAACCAAGCAATACATTTTTTTAGAAAAGAATTAAAAAAAAAAAAAGGCAGTTTAGTCATGACCCTGTCTGTATCCAGGCCTCATTGGAAGAAGGCATTGTCTGACATCTGGCAGAGTTCGAACAGCTATGTCAAGAAGAAATGTGCAAAGTTTGGCATATTTTGCAGAGATTGAGGAGACAGTAAGAATGTAGAGGTCAATGTTTGAAGGAATCAGAAGTTCTTGATGAGTGGGAATTGGCAAAGACCAAATCACATAAAATGGGGAGATTTGTGGGGGCGGGGGTTGCATGTTTTTCAAAGAACAGAGGAAACTGGACACCCTAAAATAAACCTGGACACGGCGATCGACCCAAGTACCCTGAACCAGTTTTTGTTCTTAGTGGTAATGAAGGAACATCTTTAAAACCCAACCAACACATTGTGCTGTAACTGGATTTCTTCTTCATCTTGTCCTGAAGGAATTTATCAAACCTGGTTGAGAAAAACTATCATATTCCTCATAAAGGAGTCCTGCGAACAAATATCATGCTGTTATGGAATACCTATAGTCTGTCAGACGACAATGTAATGAGAAACACCTAACTGTCAGAATTGATGTCAGGCATTGTTATCTCCTGTCCTCGGGGTGGAGATCCAGGTGCTCAGTGCACGTTTAAGTATTTAACAGCTGTCCGCTCACCTCGTCCTGCTCTAACGATCGTTATCACGTTCTTCATGACTTCTGTCTGACATGTTAGAAGATATTTACATTAAGTAACTCAAGGTTCCGTTATGGTTCGGGCTAAAGTTAGAGTTTGTACATGTCTTCAATTCTGATGAAATGAAATTCAGTCTTACTCGTTGTAATTCAGTCGGAAATCTCATGCCTTGGGTAAAAGTACATAACACTCACCGTGACTTAACCATGCCCTCGTTAGACCCAATGATATTACTGGAATTGTAATTTGGGTCAGGCAAAAAATAACATGATGTGACATAAAAATCGCATAGCTAAGAATAACTCATTTGTTTTTCATTGTACAAGCAAAAATCACAGCTACAATAAGATTGGGCTAGATCTTTACAGCTACAAATTTAATATCATTAGCTAATTGTGGCTAATAACAAACTAAAAAAAAATGTTATGCCTCTAAATAATCATTAACGTGAAAACTAACAAACAAACAAAGGCGTGACCAATGGTTGCTCAGGATGTTGTTCGGTGTGGTCAGTGGGGACAAGAAGTCGTTTGCTTCTGTTTTAGCTAGCAAAAGTTGCTTGTTCCTCATCATTGGACAAACTTTTTCAAATTTCCCAGAGATGTTGTAGTGGGCGTTCTGCTACTATTCAAACTAGCTTATCGCAAGAAGATTTAACAATCAGTTACGCATAATATGATGTCAATTGTAACTTTACTGATAATAATAATAATAATAATAATAATAATAATAATAATAATAATAATAATAATAATAATAATAATAATAATGATAAGCCGAATGTCTTAGCTATGAGAAAATAAAGTAGTGGTGTGGTGGAAGGATATTGGTTTAAAAAAAAAGATTTAGATAAGAGAATCTGAAGTCGTAACAGTTTGCCAAATTTCTAAATGTGTCATTTGCAGTGTGATTTGCAGTTCTAAATTTGTACTTCTGAACCTAAAATTTTAAAAATAATAAAAACTCACCCACCCACCAACTACAGATTCATAAAAACAAAACAACAACTACAAACTCTTAAAAAATAGGCACATTATTTAAACATGTACAAGAATATTTTGTCTATTTATAAGAGTCAAAGATGTTTTTAGGGCGAAACACTTCGGTTGTATCAGGTGATTTTTCACAACAATCAAACAAAAAAGATATTGTAATCAGTGGCTTGCTAATATTCTTAAAGTATTTTGTTCATTCTAATTCATGCATGCAAATGAGGCTTCTAGTAATTAAATATGTATACATTTGCATACTTAATACAACCAAAGCCCTTTTGATGTCTTGTGAAGTTTTGAAGTCAGAATTTAATTATTTATTTCTCACTGAAAACGCTCTCGAGAGAAAGACATTTGTAGCTAAATTTCCTG